GTCCTGCCACCAAATCAACGGAGTGTGACATGACAACGCTCAGCTTTCAGGCTTAAGAGGGGGAAGTTCACCTCTGCCCCCCCCCCTTGTGTCAAGTCCCAATCCGAATCGGGGCCCTGTGCAGCCAGTGGGCTTTTGAGACAAGCTCTGCCCATGGACTTGGAACGCCCGGGCATGCTGTCTGGTTAGATCCGGAGAGTCCAGAGAGGGATGCGCCCCCCTTCCCACAGAAGCTCACCTGTCCTCTTTCTCCCCCTGTCTGGACCAGCCTCCCCCACTCGACCGCCATTCAGCACCCCTTCCCCACCCTTCGACTCTGCGGCTGCCCTAAGCTAGGAGGGATGGGAAGGGGAGGAGGAGTGGTGGGACGGGGTCCGGCAGGGGCTAAAGACTTCCGGAAGCTCACCTTGACCAGAACGGCCACGTATTGCTTCAGTGCAGACAGACGCTCCTTGTCGAGGAAGAGGAATCGCGCCGCCTCCACTCTCAGGGTGTACACGATCGCAGACTCCAGGTCAGCCATGTACAACTTTTTCCTGTGGCGGAAAAACGGGCAGTGTGCAGGGAAGGGGGGGAGAAGGTCGATAAACACAGCAAACGGGGGTCGTCCCCAGACTTTTTGAGCACATGGACACCTTTGGGATTCTGATATGGTGTGGTGGGCGCAGCCACAAAATGGCTGCCAAAAGAGGTGGAGCCAGCCACAAAATGGCTGCTGCGGCTTACCTTCAGTCACAGAGTGAAGATCTGTGTGTTGTGGTGGCAGCTGCTGCTAAAGCAACGTTTTAAAAAAATCTGCACCCCCCATAGTGCCTCCAATGGTCCATCAGAAGCTTTGCCGGGCAAAAGCTCCACCGAGCCCTACCCGTAGGGTTGTCAGCCCCCAGGTGGGAGCAGGGGTTTCCCCAATTTGGTGGCTTCCGCAGGGGAAAGCCTCGCCCCAACAGCTGCCACCTGGTGCAACGTCCCCGACGTGATGATGTCAAGCGGAAGGGATGTCATCACGCTGGGGACATTGTGCAGCGACACTCTGATATTTTGGGCAAAACTCTATGGTAACCATAGAGTTCTGCCCAAAATACCAGAGCGTCGCCACGTGATGTGTCCAGCGTGATGACGTCACTTCCGTCCTCCGGCACTCCCGGAGAGCTCCCTCCCACCCCCCACCAGCGAGCGAAGAGGACCTGGTCATCCTACCTACCCACTTTCTAAAAACACCAGGCACGTGACGGGGAAGGTGCCCGCGGGCACCATCTTAGAGAACCCCCTGCTGTAATGATTTAATCTTGCATAAGCAAACGTGACAGGAGAGAGAGAAGGGCCCCTTTCCAATGACGTGAGGTGAGCTGAATCAAAGAAGCAAAACGAAGTTCGCAGGCTGAGAGATACAATCCCCACACACACACACACGATGGGGATTCATCAATCAAAGACTAATATTCTACAGTGACAAAAGGGCTCCCCCCCCCCAACAGACAAAAAGCAGAGGAAAGCAAGGGAATGCTGAAGAACGGGTAACATCTAGCAGAGCATCCTTCTCTTTCCTATCTCCAGGAAATACATATCTGGCCATGACCAGAGGCACGAGGCCCTGGGCAGGAGCTGAAGGGAAAGAAGCAAAGGGCTCTTGGCTCTTCGTCCAAGGCGAATGACCAGCTCTGTGAAAGAGGACCTACCGAGCATGCTTGTAATTTGTTTATTAGATTGTGTATGTTTATACTGGGAAGCTTCTGCTGCTTTGGGACCCTCTGAGGAGAAGAGAGGGATAGAAATGCTTTAATAAATAAACAGAATAAATAAGAATATCAGCTCAGGGGAGACAGGCCTATTGGGAGCGTCATCGTCACTGGGCAATGCCAGTAAAACTCTCTACCTCATAGCCGCGCACTGGCTGGCTCCTTCAGAACTGGGTGAAAACAAATTGGAATGGAAATGATGTGGTAGGGAGAACATGAGGACGACCATCAGCTGTGTCACCCATGGAAAGATAATGTGAGGGGAATTAAAAGAGGTCCATCAGGGGCTGTTAGCCACAAGGGATAGATAGGAACTCTCGGTCTGGGGCAAGGGATGCTCTGTCTTCTTGGTGCTGGGGGGGAGGCAACAGTGGGAGGGCTCCTAGTGTCCTGGCCCCACTGGTGGACCTCCTGATGGCCCCTGGTATTTTTGGTCACTGTGCGACAGAATGTTGGACTGGGTGGGCCACTGGCCTGATCCAACATTGACTTCTCTTATGTTCTTATAAGAGGGAATTGGAGAAACATATGGAGCAGAGGTCCATCAGTGGCCCCTATTAGCCACAAGGTATAGATAGGAACTCTCGGTCTGGGGCAAGTGATGCTC